TTCAGAAAGGAAAAACTGAAACAAAATTCAAAAATTCACCTGGTGTTTCCTTTTTAAAGAAATGTTTACCGGTGAGACAGGCTTGTTCCAGAGAGTATTCTTCATTCCAGCCTTCTTACTTCCATTTCTGTTTTAATCTCTAAATTGCCTACATCTGAAAGAGAATTCTTTAAATATATTGTGATTTTGCCATCTGGATTTATGTCAGAGACACATTGCTTCTTGAAAGGACTTTGTTAAAAGTATACATTTGAAGAGACAGAGTGGTTTGTGTACTAAAATAGAAAACAGTAAGGACTTTAACAGAATGCTGCTATCTGAACAGAACTATTTATTGTTTTCGTATTTCATATAAACATTTCCATACCTTTTGACAGGGGCTAGGTACTAATTGATATCTTATTTTTCCATTTAACATTATAAAACAAACATAGACCCATGTTTTCATGTGGTTTGCATTACAAGTAATTTAAAGGAAGCAGAATATTATGTAATGATAATATATCTTAAGCCTATCTTAGATATTTAGTTGTTTCCAATTCTGGAGAATTTTTGTTTAGTTTGGCAGTATAGAAAAGATCACAGTAAATATCTTTGAGTAAAAACTTATTTGCTTTTCTCTGAAAATGTTTTATAGGTTTATTCGCAGAATTTGGATAAGCATTGCTCAGTTATCTGTTAAAAAATTGGGGGCATCTTTATAACTCTAATTATAGACCATACTGTGACCAAAATGTCATCAGCTTCTAGCAGTAAAACTGAAAACTGGTATTACTGAAAGTTCATGAGAACTGCTTATTATTTAGGAGTATTTCTTCCTCAATTCTGAAACTGTACAGCAGCACCTATGTAAGTATTATTTGTATTAATTCTATCCAATGGGGGAACTATCTTTTGTCATATTTGATAATTTTTCTTTTTTTGCAAAGATAATTTTAGGTTTTCATGGTGATCTAAGGTAAATAGAAGATATCACTTTTTGCTCTACCTCTACGGTCGTGCATGATTATACAGTAGGTGCATTTCCAGCGTTGAAAAAAAAAAAGCTGGTTTACTCTGGAATTTGAGAGAACTTTGAAGAGGGAAAAGTGCAGTGTAGTTTTTGTTTAGTAAATGAATGAAGATGGCAGGTTTTATTATACCTCTTTGTACAAAGAATTACTTTTTATGTCCTTTTCTTCTTTCCTAGGCTTTGGAAATTTAATTTTTGATTCTGTAATGATTTTTCTCTCTGGTTTTCTTTGGCAATACATTTATACCAGGCACTTGCTTACTCTTTATAAGTAGAGAATAAAGTACTATATACAGTATAGAAGACGTCCTTTTACTTGGAAAGAATTCTGAAAGGGAAATTTTCTTTCTCTGCAACATGTATGAGTAAACTTTTGTTAGAAGAGAACTTTTATTTGTTGTGAGAGGGCTGTGTTATGTTGTCTACATATTTAGTAATATTTTCTTTTAGTTGAGAAAAGTGTGATGATTTCTAAAAAAATTAACCATTTCAGAGATTATAATACTCTTTGGATTATCCTCTCTGTTTTCTATATTAAAGTCAAGGTTATGGAGACAGTGTGATAGATTATTCATAAATATTATTAGTTGTTCAAGGAGATCTTGGTATCTTGTCCCTATAATTGTGGGTTATTTAAATATAGTCTTTCAATGGGAACTGTAAAAACATGTAACTTAACTTTCCATAGTGAAGTTCATCTTGCCCTTGCTCATCAATATTGCTGGTAGTAGAATGGGAAACAAGATCTTACCAATTAAATATGACTCAGTCTGTAACACTTTTATTAATTTCTTTCAAATGGTCATTTGAAAATTTCAACTTTCAATTAGAACAGCTCATTCTTCCTCTTTATAATTTAATTTAGTTTTTTTTCCTTTTAAGAAATCTCTTTGATCTCTCTTTCTTTCTCATGGCACATAGAGCAGGAAGAAGTCTGTATGGGTAGTGGAGGTGGATAGGTGGCTGGGGCTGGCTGGAGTCCTCTCAGAGGCTCTCTGTTCCCCCAACACTGGCACCATGGGCTAGTGGCTACTGAGTGTAGCTAGACTTACACATTTTGAGGTACACTGTTGGTTGCTGTTGCTGAAGACCAAAGTCTATATCAGTGGTGGCGAACCTGTGGCATGCAAGTGGCAGCAGGCAGGCAATGCTCTCTCTGTCAACATGTAAGCCAAGTTGTGTCAGCAGACAAGTGTTGGGTACTTCTTTCTAAAACCTTCACTATTACTGGCTTACTCTGTGGCTTAGGTACATAATTTCAAGAATCCCAGATGAGCCTCCCAACCTCCACAGTTCTCTCAGTTAACAGGACCTGTTGAGAATTTTTGGAATTCCAAATTCCACTTCTGGTCACAAAGCCAAGTACATCTGCACAGACATCCACTTCATCCATTTATTCTTCTGTCAATGCTTTATTTTCTCAAAGAAACTCATGCTAGCTACCAATATTCCTTGACACGTGAGGATCAAGCTTACTCTCCTTGAGCAGGTGACCCAAGCTAATCTGATGACCTTACTTCTCATCCCCAGGTTTAACCATCAAGTGGGTGGGAGAGCAAGGTTGTACCAAGGTTGTACACCAAGTTTGTGCCTCCTGACTCTCCCTTCTTTGTCTTCTCAGGTTTTTTTTTTTTTTCAGTTTTGAAAGACTTTTAGGGTTGTCTTTCATAGTTGACAGGAACTGCCTCTGTATCATACCTTTTGCTTGCCTAAGGTTGATGGCCCCTCTTCCTTTAGGCAATAACAATATGATAGTTTTAGAAGGGCAATGGATTACTCAAAAAGAAGCTATATCAGAGAATATGGCCAAATATTCATATTATAGAGCTGTGGAGTGGAACATGGAAAGCCTAGGTGGAGATTAAAATTGATGGGGGGCCAGGGTTCGATCCCTAGTTCCACATGCCCTGCTGGCCCTGCCCCTGGGGTGTGCTGATCTGTAGGCAGAATCTGGGCATGGCTGCAATCCCAGAACTGGGGAGGCTGAAAACAGACGATCATCATGAGTCTGATCTGCTTAGTGAGACCCTGTACCAAATACACAAATGGAAAAATAAATAAATAAAAACTGATGGAGAAAATGGGGAGATTAACTGCTTGGTATTCATGTTGGCAAAAACAAAATATTCCCTATAATATTTAAAAAGATAATACTCACTTCTTCAACACCTATAGTAAAATTGGAATGACACTGAGAATATTAGTATGGTCCCCGTGCAAGGATGACATGTAAATTCATGAAGTGTTCCATATCTTTAAAAAAAAACAAAAACCAAACAACAACAACAACTAAAATTTGCCTTTACCATTATCTCTCGACCTGCTTTACAGAGTTGGTGAACGCATATTGTGACATGCTCACATGACCATGCACAAGCACATAAACGTTAGCATCTCTCATTCCTAGTAACTAGGAGGGCATGGCTGCTGGCTGCTCTATTTTTATAACTAAGGGATAAACATGCTCTAAGTTTTTTTAAAAAATGAATTTTCAGCCTATTGCACTTTCCTCCTGTCTTAGTCAATAAACTGATTTCCCCATTTTCTCCTTGTTTGCTAGTAATTTAAAACAATTGTATGGCATATTTGGATTTAATACTGTATATTAATAGTATTAATAACAATATCTATTACTTACCTGATATTTCCCATGTATTAGGTAGTTATAAACCCTATAATTTATTAATCCATCTAATCCCTCCAGCACCTCTAAATGTGAAGTACTAATTAGTGGGCAGAGATGATGCTGAGTGGTAGTCTTCCATGTGTTCTGAAATTCTGAGGGGCTGTTTCAGCCCTCAAAATCTGAATTTTTTTTTGGAACTGGGGAATGAACTCAGGCCCTTGCGCTTGCCAAGGAAGCAATTATTCCACTGAGCCACTTCCTCAGCGCCTGGACCTGTTTCTAGGGTGGGGAGCTGTAGACCCTCACATGTCTCTCCTTGGCCTGCCCCACACACATGGCTCATGCTAAGCAGGGCTAACGCCATCCAAACTGGATTTCCTCTCAGTTTGTAAGGATGATTCCTGCTGCAATAAGTGTTCCTCCTAATGAGTCATACAAAAATTCTTGCTTAAATTAAAGATATTTAAGGTTGTTAGTTTGTTCATGGAAATCCTTAGGGCAACTGTGTGCGATTTAGTAGAGATAGTGGGAACAGGTCATGTGTTAAAAAGCCTTTCATCAACATGAGCCCATTTTATCAGTTCTGCAACATTTCAATAACCTTTTGGTGCTAGAGTCATGGGATGAACAAAATGGTTCTTCTTGATTCTTTTTTTTTTTTTTTTTTGAAGAAAAGGTTTATTTATCTCACAGTTACTGGAGGTTTCAGTCTATACTCAGCTGGCTCCAAGGCAGAACGTCACATGGCAGAGAGCAACCTTTTATGTGGTGGCAAGGAGCAGAGTGCTAAAGGGAGAGCAAGTATATCTCCTTTCAGTTGCATTCAGGCTTTCCCAGCCCCAGGCTGGGTGAGGCACTCACACCCATAATCCCAGCAGCACTCATACCCACAATCCCAGCACTGGATCATGAATAAATCACAAAGTCTAGAAAATCACCTCATGACTGCATGAGGCTCTTCGGGGGACAACTAGACACAGACCGTACGTATAGAAATATAGATATGAGAAAAAAGCGTAGTGTCCCAAGAAAGCAAAGAGCAATAAACAGAGCCTGAGGAGAGCTGCTGTCTCTCACTTTTTTTCCATAATATTATTGAGAAACAAATAGTAATGAGACAGTTTCAAACCAAATTGGTAGGACAGTTTCAATAATTAACACATTGCATACATTCTTCCTAGTGGTTAATTACTGTACAAGATGCAGACAT